CTTCAAATCATAACCAACTCATTGCTGACCGTCCACTGGTTTTCAGAGGTGTTAACCCCAAGAACTGATGTCTCTGAATTGTGGTTTTGGAGAATACTGAATAACCCATGGAGAGCCAGAACAACACTGGGCCTTGGAGGAAGTATACCTCGGAGGCTCTGTACAGGGAAGGATGGTGACGTTTCCTTCCCTCTATTTATATGTATGTTGTCAGGAAGGACCAGTCCTTGGATAAGGACATCACGCTGGGAAAGGTGGAGGACAAGAGAACGTCCCCAACAAAACGGCTCGACACAGTGACTGTGACCGTGGACTTGGAGCCTGGCTCCATGAGAGGAGGACGGTACAGAATAGGGCAAGGTTCACGCCTGTTGTCACAGTGTCACTATGAGTTGTAGTAGACACTATGGCACCTAACAACAAATCCCAGGAGAGGAAATTGTCCATCTCTCTCCCCGGAGTGACTGGTAGATTCAAACCTCCAGAGGTGCCACCTCTGGGTAACAACAGAACTCCATAGAGATGACTCTGAAACTTCGAGACTTTCAAAAGCAAACCCCGCAAACTCATTGAGTCTGAAACAGCTGCCCCTGCCAATGCTGGGAGGACACACACATCATTTCTCCTTGAGGAGCAGCAGGTGATCACCACCACGGCCCGGCCCCGGGCCCCGCAGCACAGCCTTTGGATTAAAAGGGAGCAGACTTTACTACGAGCCTCAGTCTCTTCTGGAGCTCTGTGTTGTTAGCTGTCCAGCCAAATCCGGCTCAGAGACCCTATGAACATCCGACCTGAACGCTGTCCTATCCCGTGTCATCCTCACAATCTCAGACACACTCAAGCCCATTGCCACAGTCACCTGTTCATGGGTCTTCCTCTTTCGCCCCATCTTAATCATCTTACTAGAGGGAGCTCCTGGTGGCCCAGAGCAAAGTAGCTGTGCTGCCAACCCAACAATGCAGTTCGAATCCACTGGCTTTATGTACCGCCTCTGAAAATCCCTGGGAGGTCAGCTCCGTCTTGCCAGTTCACAGCATTCGATTTGAAGCTGCCTGCTGCTGCACTTAGCAATGTCCTCCCCTGCGATTTACAGCCTCTAAAAATCGGCTACAGGGTCAGTTAGGAGTTGGTTCCCACTCAACAGTATATAGCAGAGATTATTTGGTAATGCGCTCTTGATGAGCTCTCCACTTCCGGCCAACCTGAATGGGAACACCTCCATGACCATGTTTCGTGTCATTTAAGGAACTGAGTGCCACCTGGTGGCCAAGCCTAAAACTGGCAGCCAGAGTTGCCTTAAAATTGAGTAGAGATGGTAGCTGAAATCCTTAACTGGTATATCCAAGCAACATAGCCTGTTCCTTCTTCCAACTCACTGCTTTGGTTTCTTTTCCTGTGTTCAGATGTATGGATATTGTTCATTCTTGGACCATTTACAGTCTGGAGACGAGCAGAGGAAGGAGTGGAGTGGGATGAAATGAAGCAAGCATGAAAACCACTTGTGGGCACTTAATTCCACCATGCCCTCTGCTGGACAATCTCCAAAGCATGAAAAGGTTGGGAAGGGCCTGTCCCATGCCCAGGATGTCTCCTCGTGTGAATTACTTGAGATTAGAAAGGGCCTCAGCTGAAATATACCTGCAATCCCACCTCAGTGTCTGGTCTGTCCAGTTTAGTTATGGAACACACCATGGTACTGACCATTGAAACCCTTTGCCCATTTGGGGATAACCTGAGGTTAAAAAGGGTTAGCAATGTGCTAAGACATCTCTCAAAAAAAAGCTCATAACTAGGACAAGAAGTCACCAAGACAGAAGGTACAATCCTAGGTCATATTTCTCTGCTCTATTCCCCAACCTGCTAAGAACAAGGGAACATGGATCCCAGCGCCCATACTCTCAATAAGCAAAGGACTGGCAAACAGCAACAAGTTTAGAATAGAGACATCAGTTACCCTGATTCCAAAGTCTACCTTTCCCAGGGACAGGCTTGAGCAAGTCACTTCAGTTTTTCTCCTTATTTTTCATGCTTGTGAAATAAGGAAGCCCAATACCTAACTCAAAGGGTCATCTTTAAGAAGTGACAACCCTGATAGGTAACCACTGAGTATTTTTTTTTCTTTTCAATTAAACCCACCAAAACAAAATCCCATGTGTGCTGTCAGGAGAGAGGACAGTCCCAGAGGCTATGAGGCATCTTTAACTGGAGGTGTTGCTGATGATTTACAAAGTTTTACAAAGTATTCAGAGACAGGTTTAACACACAGATTAACCGAAACGTGCTTTGTGTAAAATATACAACTGGTCTTAACTCTGCTGTGAGCTCCCGGTGTACTCTCTTCTGTTTACACTGTTGAGTGTAACTTGTATAATTGTATGTGCACTAGCCAAAACATTACGATAATGCTTTACTTTCCTATTGCAATCATCAACAACAACAAAAAAGACTGAAAAATTTTTATGAAAATCAAGTTGATTGCTTATAGCACCTGCTATCAAACTCGGAGACTTAAGAAAATGAGCAAACATCCAGAATCCAAGGTGAAAGTTCTCCATTTAAAGTACTCATCCACTTTAAGAAGCCTAAAATCACACACAAATAATGTCCAAGTAAGCCCTTTACCCCCAGTAGAAATTTTAGAGCTAACTAAGTGAAATTTTAAACTGCAGTTAAATAAAATTTAATCACAAACATAATTAAATGTCTTTTTCATCTTTTGCTCTTTGAGTAACTTAAAACTACCTGCTCTCAGTCATCTGCGAAAGGGGGTTTACTTTTCCTATGTCCTAAGGAGAATTTATGGTCAGCACAGGCAGGCAGAGCAGTAGTCTTTGTATGAAACCTGCCTTCCTCTCCAAATTGCAGCTAGTAAGTGGGCCAGGCTTGAGATCTCAGGGGCAGGGGCCTGAGAGCGGGAAGTGTCTTAGAGAAGGGCCACTTTGTCTCCACATCCCACCCTATTACTCACCTGGAATAGACTAATTCCATTTCCACAGCAGCAATGCAGCAGATCATTCTGAAAACATACCACAAACCATACCATATCCGAGGCTTCAACCTTAGACAACCCAGAACCAAACAGGACACTGTATCATCTGTCCTGATGGTTGGCTTAAAGTGTTCCATTTATCTGGATATAAATAATAAGGTGCATTCCTAGGTAAGCCATCTTGAAACACGAAAATCCATTTCCTTAAGATGAATTTGGGATACACATTTTACAAATTAATACTGTTTAAATGGATACAACTTCCCATTTCACACAATATTTTGTTTAGGTGGCTTTTTAATAACATTTCTTTCACAAGTTACATTTGGAACCTGTAGAAGCTGAGAGGCTTACGTACCACATACAAGTAAGTGGTGACAAGGGTGAGTGGTATGCAGCCATCACTGGCATTTTGGAACCCTTGAACCCTGGGAACTAAGTGGGTTCTTGACTGTCTTCTTCCCCAAAGCAACATTACACCGGAATGAAACTGCACTTTCTGAACAGCTGTGGGAACACAGGCTGACTGATCCCTCACCCCCAAGTGTGGCCACAAGTGACAACTCTAAATATGTGCTGTCCAATCCTATCTCCTGTTACAAGGATAAGGTTATCTAGAATCCAGACTGTGGTAAATGGCAGGGACCTTGGAGAAGACTGAGTCTAGAAAAACAGCTGTGGGCAGTGTGCCGCTCAAGTGCCTGCACCCACGTCACCTGCAGACTGCCAAATGTCCATCGACATGGTAAGTGAAAGAAATGACAAGGTAAAAGCTGGAGAAGCCAAGTCTTTCTGCGTTCCAGGTAGGAGTCTATCTACTCTGTTCTCAGGCTTAACTTAAAACTACATCAAAGGGCTATGCCACTCTTTAATGGCCAATTAGATGCACCTTATGACATCTCTGTCAAACCACAGGATCCAAAGTCTAAATATTCTTACACCTTATTTTCTTAAGTCTGCATGGCAGGATGAAGCAGGAAAATATGGGTTTTCTGACTTTAGGTTAACCCTGAGATAGAAAAATGAGTTTTAGCACCCACAATACTCAAATGAAACTGCATAAATGTCACGCTCCATTACAGTCAGCCTAACCACATGATCTTTCTCTAAGCCGAAGGCTCCACCTGAGTAAGCCCTTTCCATGTGAGATCCCCTTAAAGTCCGTTATGGACGGAAAAGGAAAAAAGCCAACAGTCATCTTCTGGTGCCAAGTTCACCAGATTCAGGCCCCACTGATGGTCCTGGCTCAGGCGGGTCTAAGGCATCCCTGAGTGTCCCCCACCTCATGTACCTGCAAGACTACAAAGCTGGGAATATGTCCATTTCTGCACACACTTGGTGTCTTTCTCTGTAAGTTTCTCTAAGGAACCAGCCAGCACCATGGCTCACACACACAGTAAAGCATGATTCTAGAAATCATTTCTTGTAGCCATTTTGGATAGCCAAATGACAGGACAAATGGTAGGCAAGTCTCTCTTCATCTGTGGTTCTGGACAGTATATGCGTGGACAAACACTACAGAATAGGCTGTCACGCAGACTTCCTTTCATCACTTACTACCAGTATAACAATGCACAACTGACGTCTTCTGTGACTTCAGTGTCATCACACGGAAAAAGAATTGCTTTTCACTTTGTGAAGGGGCAATTTCAAATACATACATGCCCGCTTTTCCTTCCTTCCTTACCAACATTGGAATTGTGACATATTGTGTACAAATCCTATGTTAGGAAAAATATAGTATGAGGAGTGGGCAGTGTATACACTAGGAGGACAAAGGGCAAACAATGGGTTTATTCTTCTGTCAGTGACATTCTTAGGTCAGGACCAGGACAACTGGCACACTGTCCAAATGTCAAGGGAATTTCTATGAATTTGGATACTAAAATGGCCAAACAATTATTATTCCAGATTGTCTGGAGACTGTATTCCTCTCTGCTGGCCCCAGTATCCCCATCAGACAAGGAGGAAACATCACAATGACTATTGGAAAACTGCAGACAACTAGGAGTCATTCTTAAAGAGATTTAATTATTTGAATTGCATAAAAGGGGACAATACATTTAAATCTCTGCTACATCACCAACAGCGGGGTCTTTTTTTCCATTGTTTTTCTATTAAAGACCCACTAGAGTTCTACCCATTTCAGGTTTATGGCTATAGAATGTGGGGAAAACAAACATCAGCAACAGACTAGGAAAAATAAGAACCTGTTCCATTCTCAAGAATGCCTCCTCCACTGGAGAAGAGAGTCCTTTCAAAAGAAAAAGGAGGTTGCAGTGAAATGCAGGTGCACACTCCCAGTAAACAAAAGTAAGAAAGTGATGGGGAAGGACGTTAGGATGGCAGAGCCTGGTGTCCCTGCGACTCTCCTCAAACTGCCTTCTGTGAGGATGAGCATTCCTTCCGCTGTGCTGGGACAATGGAACCTGAAACCAAGTTTTCCTGTCAGCTCAAAGATGAAGAAACCTTGGGAGTGGAGTACAATGGTTTCACAATACTCTAAGAAAGTCTTTGTTTCTTTTTATTAAAAAAACCATGGCTTTAAGACAAACTCTGTTACTTAAAGACTGGGAGGTAGGAGGGAGATGCAATTTATTAGTGAGGGCTGGAGGCCTATGGCCCACCAACAGCACAGGCTACAACAGAAGGATCTCCTCATGTTGTTCGCAGGCTAGCATCTATGGCTACTGCAGCCTAGATGGACAGAGGCAAAGCAAGCAGTCCCCTCTGGCTCGGAAAAGCTCAAAAGACGGAGGACCAGCGGCAGCTGTAGTCTAATGGTTCTAAATAACCAGCATTTACTGTTATATTATAACCAAGAATTTATTCCACAATATAAACTTGCAACATTTGATACAAGCTACCAAAAAAATAGGGAAGGGTAGGAGGAGGGCAGGGAGAAAGCCAAAATACAGCTGTGGCAATTACTTACAGAGCAGTCTCTTTTCTACATCACTAGTTCATCAGTGACCCTAGAAACTAGACATTTGCGTTCTGTACATCAACCAAATGCTAAAGCACCAACACACTGTTCATATGTTTGTTGTTTTGTTTTAATTCCAGCCACTGAATCCAGACATGGAAGTTATTGCTCAGATAAATAAACCTAGTCTACCATGAGGGGTGGGAAAAAAAGGAGATAAAGAAATAAACAAAAACCCCCAAAAATGAAAAACTCAAGTACCCCAATGTGGTAACAGAGTAAACAGGAGATTCCTCAAATGAGGATTTACTGGAATTTCTGATGCCCTTCTGGACACTGAAACCGAGTTGGACTCTTAAGCCATAAATCCCAGAGGTAAGATTTTAATGCTGTACATGAAAAGGTGCAAGATTTGATGCCTTCCAAATTGGTGGAAACCCCTGCAAAAAACAGTCAGCATTTCAAATCTCAACAATCACAAACAACTCTTAAGGAAAAAAATACAAAATGTGTCAAAAAATTTTTAGTTGGTTTTTGTTTTGTTTGTTTTTTTCTTTTTTTCAAAGAGTTCTGGAAAAATGATCCCATAAAGAATAGAAATAGCACCGTTTACAGGCTGGAGTGAATGCCAGTCCTGTAGCTTTGCTGAGAAATTGAAGGAATCTTCTAGGTTGGAGTCCTGAATTACATGAAGGAGAAGGGGGTTTGTTTTGTGATTTTTACTTTCGGCTTGGTGCGTCCTTCACAGTACAGCGCACACAGATGTAGTCTTCCTTCTCTGCCATCTCTGGAGAAACACCAACACAGACCTGATGAAACCACTGATTGCAGCTGCCATCACACTGGACCCAGTCCACCTGGTTACAAAGAGCAGGGAGATGGGATTTTCAGAGGAAAAAATGCGATTCAAAACTGGGCAGGCCAGCCTCAAGATATTCAGGCCATTTACCACTAACGGCCCCTGTCCCATCACTAGGATTTCTGGCACAAAAGCTAAGCCAGAGAAGTGGAGCTGGCCCACCAGCCAAAGCAACCGAGTCAAAGCCATTCTTCAAGTCGTGACTGCTTTGGGGTTAACACTGTGTCGCCCTGTGATAAGCAAAAGGGTGTTACATCAGCATCCCTCCCACCTTCTTAGCGTCAGGACGGTGGAAAGCTGGAGGAGCAAGAAAAGGAAAAAGGGAAAAAAAACCAAGAGTTTCTTCAAGAAAAGGGAGGAGACCCAGGAACGATGGTAAGAGCAGAGATATCAGTAGGGGAGGGCTGAGCAATCCATTCAGATCAGCTCAAAGCAGGTTAAGCAGAAGAGAAAGCCCCAGCGAGATGAGGTCTAGCTTACAGGGTTTCTGAGTTAAGGGAAAGCACGTCCTCTACGGCCCAAACCTCACTGACCTCATCTCCTTCTGGCTGCAGGCAGCTCACAGCTGGGCAGATGGCATCTTCATCCTCAGAGTCCTCCTGTTCCGAATAGGATGTGTCTGAGGGCAGGGAATGAGTTTCAGCTGAACGGGCTAATTCATAGCTATGCTCTCTCTCTAACTTGAAATTGTTCATGTCCTTGGAGTGGCTCAGTTTGATTTTCTTCTTTTTGGGGGTCCGCATTTTTTTAATTCGATCCCACCGCTCACTGGATAGGTCCTCTCTTTCTAGGCGCCTCTTCAATTTTCTCTCAAGACTGTTGAGACCGTCTCGCTTCCCTCGGCAGCAATCACTCTGTGTAGAACATGGGCAAGATCAGTTTTAGACGACAGCCTGCTTATCATGAGAGCCAGTTAATCTAAAGACAACACGTGTATTAAAAGCAAGATGATTCCCGAGTTGAAATGGAAAAACAGCAGCCTTAAACATCCCCTATAAAACTGGTTTCAGTTTAACAAAGTTCCTCCTCCTCAGTGTTCATGCTATTAATAACAGACTAGAAAAAGGAAATGTTAAAGATATTTCAGCACAACCAACAAGCACCAGAAGAAATGATGACTGCAAATATTCTTGTTTCCAACCATCCTTACATAAGCGAGGGACCACTGTTGTTTAAACCTTAAGGAGATGGGCTGACACTGAGTGGCTACAACAACAGACTTCAGCCCAGCAGCCACTATGTGGACTCTTCGTTCTATTGTACTCAGGACTGCTACGAATCAGAACCAAGGTGACAACAACTAACAGCAATATCCTAAGGTCTCAAGGAACCTCACAACTGACCATTCTTCTAAAAAGACACAGATCTCCATCTAACAGAAGAAAGGTGCATCATTAAATGAAGACAATTAGTGCTAAAACTCAGCGGGACCATCTACATCTGAGAGGGACCCGATGGTGGAGTCACACTGACGTGCGCTGCCATCCTAAACACAGTGGCCTCTCTGCTGGGTCAAATCCACCAGTGGCTCCATGTGAGAAAGGTGGGACCGTCTTTTCTAGTGTGATTTAACACTAGAGGGTCAGCTATGAGTTGATTTCGGTTCCATGGCAATGGGTTTGAGATGGTTGGTTGATTAATGGAATGATAATGGAATCGAAAACTCTAAATGCCATTAATAGTTCTCACGCTAATCATTAGTTCTCACGCTATCTTCCGCAAAAATTCTTGTCCTAACATGGCCTCAGACCTGCCTAGTAGTTTTTCTATCTTGATTCTATTCCTGGTGTCTCTTAAACGATACATGCCAGCTAGTTCAAGTAGCAAGAGGCAGCAGCCTCCTTAATCTGCAAGGAAATGGGACTTTTAATGGTATCCTTGAAGAAATAAGGGGTACCCTCAGTTTAATAATCCAACCGCCACAGTAAGTGTGAAGGGTAAAAACAAAGCCTTTGTTAAATGCTGACGCCAGGAATATACTTGACTTTTAAAAAAGATTTCATCAGAAGAAATGCTATCATGTATGATTTTCTTTTTATCTCAATAGTACTCCTATCACAAAGGAGGAAAATTCTATTATTATTATTAGGGAAAATGAAGAGAAGCAGCTTGCTAAAAAGGAAAACAAAAAAACCAGGCAGGATTTTAAGATAGGACCAAAGCTCCAGTCCATGTGCACAGGCCAAAGCATGTCACGTACAGCATCTGGTCTTACTGCCGGTCTCAGGGACAGTTTGTGAAGGAGAGTTTGCATCTTTTTCTGGACCTTATCCTTCTCATTATTTAGATGGATGCTATGAGTCTCAGACTCTGCCTTCCCCAGCAGATTCTCAGATACTTACCTTCTCACTGCTGGGTCTCACTGGTGAGCTTCGGTCAATTTGCTGACCAGGGCTTGGCTTTGCAAGTAAAGTCTGGTAAAGTTCCTGAATTTCAGGAAGGGATACCTGGAGCAACTGGGCCTCCATCAACAGTTCGTTCACTTCTGGACTAATGCCTGTTGAAGAGCAGACCAAATCATAATGATGTATTTATTCCACCCTAATTTGCCTCCTTACTTATTGCGATCACAATGGATAGCACATCTGCCTCAATGGACTTTAACAGAAAGTTGTCAGCCTGGGGCAAGGGCAACATGCATGGAATCAAGTGGCTGTGACATTACTAGACACAAACTGTGACAGTATGACAAGGATCAAGAGTCCAGCTGCAGCTGTACAAAGAACTCATGTGGCAGGCATTTACAGATAAGGATTAGGAAAAAAAGGAGATAGATTTCAAATGCAGATTATCTTTAAGATCCTTTCCAAGTCTCCTAATAGATTAATAAGGGAGTTCATGACTTAGCATTGGCATTAAGTTAACAGTTGGCAATGCCAGTAACCCTTTCATCTCTGAAAGCACAGGGACATACATGGTCTTCTTCTCTATTTCTTTCATGTTTAACAGAATGACCCTTCAATCATGACCCTTCTGTCTTATAAATGCACAGTAATCATATGCTATATTCAAGAATGAGTCCTTTTTTATAGTCCCTAAAAACTCGTGGTTGCTGTGATGCTGAAGCCTGTGACAGTGATGTGCCAATCGTGGTAATGGGCACCCATGGTGGACAGTGTTGGCTGGAGCTTCCCGACTAAATCAAGCCTAGAAGCAGGAGCGGCATCCACTTCCAAAATGGCTTGCCTCTGGAAACTCTATGTACGAACAGTGCTCTCAGGCTGTTCATTCATAGGGTTGTCTACGACTCGACGTCACCAAACAACAACAACAAATCACCTCTAAAAAAAACCTAGTTCAAGATCACTTGTTACTATCTAGCCCCTGAAATAAATCAAAGTACAAACCACTAAGGGGGATACAACTTCGTCCAGTTGAGAAAGGGGAGTGTAAATATGAGGTTCTGTTGTCCCAGTCCTCAGGCAAGGAAAAGGATGTGGTGCCAGATGGTAGAGGTACCTAATGGAAAGAAAGCATTTCAAGATAAGGCTTTTTTTAGGATTATTCATTATTATTCTCACCAATCAACAAAAAATTGGGATGCTCAGACAGGTAGTCAGAAAAAGCACCTAATTTTCCCAAACTAAAGGAAGTTTCCTGGCATCTTACCCTCAAACCCAGACCAAATCCACTGCCATCAAGTTGATTAAAATAGGACAGCACAGAGTAGTCTGAAAAGTTTCCTAAGCTGTAATCTTTCAGGAAGCAGACTGCTACATCTTTCTACCACAGAGAGGTTAGTGGATTTAAACTGCCAAGTGCTAATCACTGTGTCAAAAGGCTCCTTTCGTGGCATCTTAGATTTGGCCAAATCAATTCACATGCTCCTGAAGACCAAGCTTTACCAATTTCAGGAAGTGAAGAGAATCAGAAAATAACATTACAGATCTGTGACAAGAGATCACATAGCTCTTTACTCTTTATGTAATTCTCCATGTTGACAATCTACAACAGGACACATCTTTGAGTAAATCAACTAAGGACTAAGTGCCATTTCATTTTTGACCACTTAATTTTTAAAAGTACATCTGAATATGTAAATAAATGTTGCATGTGATGTATATAGAAAGGTATATATGTATATACATTTATATATGACATGTGAGTTTTATAGATGTGTGTAAATATATGTACATGTTGTGAGATTTGCAAATGTGTGTAAAACGTATTTGTGTATATAATGGTGTGATATGTATTAATTTATATATGTTCATAAATAATTTATGTGAATATATACATACATATGCGTTCATATGTGATGTGTGACATATAAATGGGTATGCATATAAATATTTAAATATAAATATATATATACATATTCATACAAAAATGTGTTATGAAATACACATACATGTACATGATCTTATATGAAGTTAAATAATGATGTATGTTAATATATACATATGTGTATGGGGAAAATAGAGAAACCATTGTTCTTGTATGCTGTGTATTGTCAAGTTGGAACCAACCCATAGGTTTTCAAAAGCAGTTAATTTCTCAGAAGACTGCCCATCTTTCTCCTGCAGGGCAGCTTGTAGATTCAAACTGTGTACCTTTGTGTTGGCAGGAGAAGGTGTGTCAGAGACAGTGAGGTTGGCACAGGATAGAGCAGGATTTAGGGCTGTTGTACATAGGGTCTCTATGAGTTGCAGGCAATTCTACAGAACATAACACATGTTGGGGAAACAAGACAAATGTTTTAATGCTGGGTTATCTAATTATTCAACGAACATTTCACCTAGACACCTGCTATGCAGGCGATAAGGAAACAAATATAACAAAGCTAATTCTGTCTTAATCTCTGACATTCTGAACATTTGATTCATATAATTCTTGTGTCTGTGTATGTATAATGCAAAGTATTTGTGGTATCTCTAACAGAGAAACATATGTTGAATTTAAAGTCAAGAGGTTGACCTTACAAGAGAAAAGTGAATGCTGCCTTTCCGTTTATACTTTTCTACAGATGACAGAAAGCTCTGCTGAGCCCAGTCATAGACTTTTTGTAGAAAGATTATGGAGGGAATGACATAGCTTTTCCTCTGAAGTAACACAGTATTCAAACACTTCCCAAAACTATTATTCCTCAAAGGGCAGTAAGAGAATGTTAAGAGCACTTTCCCTTGTTACTCAGTGACTTAGGCAGGAAAAAGCAGTAAATAAAAAAGTGTGTCATCAAGAATTAAAAAAAAAAAACCCAAACACATAGATCCATACAAGTATAAATCTATCTAGATTGAAACTTTTAAGTAAAAAACCTTTTATGAATCTTTGTAAATGTAAACAGTGTACAGAAATAGTTACTAGGAACTCTGGTGGCCTAGTGGCAAAAAGCTGCACTGCAACCCCAGAGGTGCACAGTTCAAATCCACCAGACGCTCTGCTGGAGAAGGAGGGACAATCTCCTCCTGTACCGGTCAGATCCAATTTGATGGTGCCACACACAAAAATATATTAAAAAAAAATAGTTATGATTAGTTTATGTCAGAATTGCTTTGGCCTTCTTAAATTAGAAAAATCCCAACCCCCCAAACTAAAAAACCTTAACTATTATGGGGGGGGGGGGAACTGCAAAATATAAATATTTTTTAAAAAAGGAAGAAAATTTATGAATCTTATGTACCACCAAGCAAATGCCAGGGCTAGCATACAATGTTAGTTCTAGATTACTTATTCACTTAAAAAGAAAAATAAAATAGTTTTAATAAAAATTCCTAAGCCATGAAAAACAAAAACAACCAAAATTATATGAATTAGCATATAAGACCTAAAAATCATTAGCATATCGTGTTTCCAGACACAGACACAGTTCAAAACTACGATAGCATAGCTCCTGGAGAAGCAGCTTGATGACACCAGATGCCACTCTCACTGGCTGGGGTACACGCTGCCTGTTGTTTGGCTTCACAGTAAAACAAACACTGAAAGCTAGTCTCCTGTTTTACATAAAGGCAAAAAATCTCCCAGCTTTATTTCCCCTAGCAGATCAGAACTACACCTAAAAATAACAGGTCTTAAGGGAGCTCTGGCGGCCTAGAGGCAAGAAACTGCACTGCAATTCCGAAGGTATGTGGTTCAAATCCACCAGAAGCTCCGCTGAAAGACGGGCAATCTCCTTCTGTGCCAATCAGATCCAATTCAACGATACACAACAGTATAAAAAAAATAGGTTTTTCCTAAAGTAAAGCTGCATAAAGTGAACATTCGAAAAGAGAAGGACATGTGCACAGAAAAAAGTGAATACTTGTTCTATAGAAATAGAATACCTGACAAACTCTTGGCTTTTAAGTAGATAAATAAAAACAACAGGGTAGATACACATGACTCTTGAAACAGGAAGCTATAGATAAAATAAGAGCTTAACAGTAAAGTGAACATCAATAAAAAAGGAAGAACAAAGAAATTGGTACTAGAAAAAGGTACAGAGCTGCCATGTGGATTTCAATCAGCAGCAGAGGTAGGAGAAAATGCTGGACCTCACCTTGTTTATCTCCGACACCTGTCCTGTTGAGGCTAGCCATCGGCTATATAACAGTCCTGACCCAACTCGATCTTGCACAAATTTTAGATTCCCTGATGAAAGCAGTTGCTGGGCTCTGTGTTGCCAGTTCACGGTTCTTTCAATCATGTATCGAAGTGCATCTCCCTCAGGAAGGCGAACTCGAATACGCTGCAGGGAAGCCAGTAGGGGCAAAATTTTCTCCAGGGGGGGTTTCTCTGACCTCCGACAATGGGGACAAAGCCAGACTTGGGAGCCTTGAGAAGTACTGGGCACTGCCACGCAGGAGGTATGGAAAGCATCCCTGCAGAGTTCACACTGCATCATAGGTGCCGCTGGCGCCTTCTGACACACGCAGACCTTCATCTCCACATCTTGGACAGGTGACAGCAACTTCCCTTCATTGGCTAGTCTAAGAGACTGCAAGGCTTCCATTTCCCTCAGACGTGCCTCTCCAAGTGTTACCATCTGAAAAAGGAATTATAAGTTAGTAACAAGTCACAGAAAGCCCAGCCTTTCCATAAATCTCAAGAGTTTGAATGGTTATGGGAAAGGACTACAGTATAGATTTTATCTGTCACCATGCAATGATATTAATCTTTGCCTCTTCTTGGTCCTGCTCCACACTAGTTGTGTGACCATGTGCAGCATATCTCACTGTGATTCAGGCTTTCTGCATGTGAGAAAGTAGTTCCAGTCCTAACTCAAATAGCTTTGATAATAAATGAAAGATACATGGTAGAATATAGAACACTATCTTCCTGGCACACAGTAAACAATGTGATCAATGACTCAACGTAACACTTCTTAAACATCCTACTTTCCTACAAATTTATCCCCTAGGAAATTCACTTCTCTTGAAACTTTAAGAAGAGGCTTTCCATATTTTACATGTACAGAAGTCTGGAGTTCATTTATTGGTCAGTTCCATTAACCTTTGAGTCCTTCAAGACAAGGAATTTTGGATTTAAAAAAAAAACAAAACACAAAACAACCTGCTAAGAGCAACCTTTATACAGGATATCATACATGCCTCTTACTCTCTCTTTCAACAATGGCTGTGAGATGCAAGTACAGGTAATGAAGTTGGAGTCTTTAAAAAAAGTAAGTAGAGAAAAAAAGTAAATAGAAACCACTTTTTACGATACTTTTTTCATATTGGCAGGGACACACACAGAGTAAAAATAAGATGACTAGGACAAAGACAAGAACAAAAAAATGTGCAATATGAATTTTTCTCTGCAGAAGTTACAATATACTCAGATTATTGTCTTTCCTTCTAAAGAGGACCAAATTAGCTACTTCTAATGGAACTTTTAAAAAACAAATACATTAAGCATCTGCTAAATACAAGGCAGCCAATGCACAAATAAGCCCTCTTATCACAAATTTATCATGTTCTCATGAAGTATTATTAAAGCACAAAGGTGGCAAATCTTAAATTATAAGCCATGTCAAATTTAATGTGCAGTTTTATCACCCAGTTTCCCAAGAAAAGGTTGGACCAGTAACATCTTCATTGAGTGCTTCACTGATGGAAGGTTTTCCTAAAGTTTAGCTTTACCTTTTAGAAACAAATGCTGTTGGTTGTTAAGATCTACTCCTTTCTTAAACACAATACCCAAGTCTGTAAAATGCTAACTATCCCAATTAAAATTACTCCTAATTATCACATTCATTCACTATTATTACCATTTTCTTGAGTGTAAAAATCAGAATGAATTCTTATTTTTCTGGCTGGTTTGTTTTTGGGGTTTTTTTGGTGGTGGGTTTATTGTTATTGTTGTTTTTTTATTTTATTAAATGGGACCTGGCTCTTTCTTTCCTTAGTCTTCTTTCTGAAGATCTTTTGTTTTGGTTTTTTATTTGTTTTCTTTCTATCTCAGTAAAAAGCTTGCATCTCTTACTGAGTTTTTATCCAATCATTCATACAGAAAACTCCAACATCTCAACAAGAAAAAGACAGACAGTACAATTACAAAATGGGTCAAGGACCAGAATAGTCAGATGATCAAAAAACACATGAAGAAATGCTCAAGATTATCAGTTATTAGAAATACAAATAAAAACAATGAATTATCATTGTACCCCAGCAAAACCAGCAATTTTTAGATATTATAATTAATCAACTCCAATTAATGTTATATGAAACAAAATGTACATGAACAAAACATGCCAAGGGATTAAGGAAGAAAACAAGCCCTGTTGCAACTTTATGTTACAAACATTCCCTACAGGTTTCTTTTGTCTTTTGGTTTTGTTTTTTTTTTAAAAAAAGGTCACTTCTTGTTGTATGCTGTTGAATTGGAACCAACCCATCCATAGCTGGTCCTTCGGTCAGTAAACTACAAAGGAGGAGGCTGCCCTTTCTTCTCTTCCTTCTCTCGAAGAGCAGCCAGTGGATTCAAATCACATGCTTTTGGGATTGCAGTGCAGCTTCTTACCACTAAGCGATCAGAGGTTCCCTAAAAGCCTCTCAGTTGTAGACAAATCCAAACGCTGTAGGCGCTATATACAAATGGAGCACAAATGACTGACCTTTCAGTGTTCTGCCATGAAGTTAAAAGTAATTCAGTAGGTTCTTATACCAGGGTCCATAGGTATATGTAAACTAAAATCTGAGTTACTGTGTATAAATGTATAAAACTGTAGGCAGCTATTTCAAAGCAGAAGACTTTTAACTATTTGTTAGTCTTCACAAAAAGCACAGATATAAGTAGGCCAAATTAGCATTTTAAGAATACCAGACCAAAGTCAGTCTGTGTCAAAAAAGAAACAAATCAAGGAAAAGTGCACGTAGATCACAAGCTAGTTCAACAGCTAATGAGGAAGATGAGGCAGAAGAGTCTGATGAACTAGTCTAGCACAAGAAACAGCTACATTCCTATCTGAAATAAACAATACTTTATGCCAACAAAAATAACCAAACTACAGAGATTTTCTTTTTAACCTAATAATCATGCTCACCACACAAGAGCTAAATACTGCTTCTTCAGCTTCTTGAAGATGGTATCTTTGTATCAACTAAGCCTAATAAATGTAGGTTTTGCTCAAATAAGAACTCAGTCCACTTTTCAGTGTATTGCTTATTGTTACATTACGAAGTTGGAGCTGCAGTTTCCCTTATCTAGGAGTCTTGTTCTTCCTAGTACTTTATCCCTGGTTCAGCCCACAGACACTGAGATAAGACCATTTGAGCCTACAAGACTGAAAGGCTTTCCCTGGATTGCCTGCATCTCTGTGCATCTTCTGTTCAAAACTTCCACATTTAACAACATTCAGAAACTGAGCTACTTTCAAAGCTATTCTTCCAGCTGCCTTCCTGTAAAGAGTAAAGGCTCAAACCCTCCCACTACACCACAAACAGGAGACGGGGAGCCCACAACGCACTGCTGACGCCGTCTCCTTGCTTTCGGTTAACGCTCTCTCCAGGTCGCTCAGACTCTCTAATTTGGTGGTTTTTTTCTTTCCACTTGGCAGAGGTTCCTTCAGCTTCCTCTGCTTTCTCTTCAACCCCAAAGGGCCAATATCGCATCGAGGACACAGCACCTAACACAAGACAAAGCACAACCACAGATAAAATCAGATTTCAGATAATGCATTACAAAGTCCCAAAATAATTCCCTAAGCAGTGGAAAGAATGCAAAATTCTTAACAGCAAATCTTTTCATTGGAACATGTAGCTCTGAGCCCAGAAAACTTCCTCTCTTAAGAAGATCAGAGGGAATCAAAAGACTGACAATGATTCCGTATTAATTAAAATAAGTAAAAATGTTATACATACAAATTCTAGTCACAATGCAAAGTTAATATTGGCTTATCAGAAAAGAGGATATGAACATGTACGGCTAAGCACAATTGATGCTAAGCACAATTGATAACAGTGCATCTAAATTCCAAAATCAATCTCCATAATAGTCTATGTGTTTCCCACTGCCAAGGGGGCCCTTTAGAATAGTGAGAGAAGACCTTCATCCTGAAACCCACAGCGTCCCTTTTCAGCAGGAAGTAGCTAAGAGAATACGCCATCCCCTTTTCCTTATGAATCAGGGTGAAGTCTCTCTCAGGG